CTACAGACTCGGGTTTTGTTTAACAGGAGTAATTACAAATATTCAAAGGGACGCGCATTAAATTATTTTTAGGATAGGATCCACCATGCTTCTGACCCATCATGGACTGCTGTTTGGTTTGTGGCCTAGCGTTGGTTTTTTAGAATGGAGTTCGAGTGCTTTTCTTCAGATAGTGAAGGGGAGAGGGAAGAGAAAACATATTAGTGGAAGGAAAGGTAGATTTGTGACCTGTTGCTTAAAAGCAAAGAGAATATTTAAAGTGTTGCCATGTCTGAAGATGCTTTATTGGAAGAGGACATTTGGGAGTACAAATCCATTAGGAAGAAAAAGCATCAGAGTAGTTCAGAGAACATCTCTACACCTGTGCAGAAAGTAAGTGATGGCAAGTGCAGGCCGAAAATAAAGAGAAATGGAAATAAAAAAAAATCTGTAGAAAAAACTGATACGCCTCAGAAAACCGAGCAGAGCTCAAGGCCAAATGAGGATGTAGATCAATGTAAAGATGACAGTAGCGTGCACTCCCAGGAAAGTGTGAGTAGCCTGACAGAACAGAGCTCCCCAAATGCAAAGCCCATTCATGATGGATACTGTCCGAGCTGCCAGATGCCTTTCTCCTTGCTATTGGTCCAGACACCTCGATGGCATGTTGCTGAATGTTTGGATACTCCAGGATCCATTGAAAAAGGTATGAACAGAGTAAGAAAAAGCAAAAAAGTTAAAGGCTTCTCACATAATGTTGCTGTAAACCTTAGTTTTCATATTTAGTTCAAAATGTGAGATGGTAGTTGGTATGATTTTTAAAATGTTATTACTGATCACTTATCAGTATTGGTTTTGTATGAGATTTTTGGTTCTTTGTGAGGAACATGGAAATCTGACATGAAAATCTTGGAATCTAAGAGCTTTTTACGATAGCAATAAGGATTCATGTTTTTTTATCAAGCTCCAGTTTTAGTAGTTTGTTGAAGAAATTAAGGGTTCATAATTTACCATTTTAAAATAATGGAACCTGTTTCAATTACTAAGTCAGTGTCAGCAAAAAAACCTCCTTCAGTTAAGAGGGTGCTACTTTTGACACCGAATTTCTTTCTCCTTAGGTAGACATTTTATTATCCTGTATCCATGTTGCTGTGTGACTTGTCAAGTTGTCTGTGGACAGTTGGAAGCTGAAATCAGTCTGTTAGGCTAATTTATTTGAAATGTTAGCCCCTGATCCAGTGTGCTTTAGAAATTTTATGCAGAATTATACATGAACATTCCTGTATTATGAGACAACACAGTTCTGTTTTGAGTTCTGTACAAGAGGAATAAAACTGTCTCATTCCAGTTGCTGGTTTCACATGGGGAAATACCATGTCTGAATAGATGCAGGTATCCAACTGACATTCTTAATACACTTCATAGCTTTTGATAAACAGAAAGTGTAGAGTCAGGAAACTTGAGTAAATACTGTTTAGGTAACATAGTCACTTTCCTTTTTATACTTTTGTAACTTACCTTGAAGTTTCTTCTTCAGAATAATGAAATGTGAGCCCCTTAATCCCGATTTTGGCAGTGGTTTTAACTTAAGGCAGATGTGTTAACACCTAATTTCCATCTCTTACTCCTGTAATTATCAGGTGAAAAAATCCTTCTGATTGATTTATGCATTCACCTTAAAATCCTCAAAAGTTAGGCTAGCAAACTCTCAACAGAAAAGGTTTAGGGAACAGTTGCAGATTTTTTTGCTGGCATCTGAATCCTGAACATTTTTTTTCACATAAGTAAATACATGACTTTTATTTTTATTTAGTGTGTAACCCAGCAGACCGTTTGAAATGGAATTGCATGTTAATACAGAACTGAGATTTAGTTTGTTTTGAAATGTGTCTACTGGCCTTTTCTGGTGCTACTGCCCTGAGTTCTTTGCTTGCATGTGAGACAATTCTAAACTAGAAGCCATATGATTACATTAGCACAGTATTGAAACAGGGTTAAGTACTCTTGTTATTAGAGGGCTGTATTAATTCAGGCATAGCACTTTATTAGCAGCAGCTGTTTGGTGTTAGGTTGGAAGCATTCTCATTTCTAGCTAGCACAGGGCAGGCAGCACAAGTAAAAAGTAATTTTCAAGCCACCAAGACCTTCTGCCCTCCAATAGCAGCATTTATAAGAAAAAGCTTTTAAATGGTGTGTCATGTGTAATTTTTATTTTAATAATTATGCAAGCTATATTTGTAAAGATATTAACATTATTTCTGTGTTTAACTGTTTTTATAGAGTGTGCTGATGGTTTACTGTGCACTTCCACTATTCCATCCCACTACAAGCGTTACAGCCATTTTCTACTTGCAGCAAGCAGGGCAGGAGATTATCTTGTAAACTCTTCAGCAAATGCTTTGGAGGGGAAGATGACGTGTTCTACTGCTGCAGAGCCCACCTGTTCCCCAAGTCATGTAGAGGAAATCTCACAGAATGAGAAACCATCTAATAATGTAAAAAATGTCCCAAATGATGACAGTACATTGATAGTACGGAGTTTGCAAATGAAGTCTCTAAATATAACCACTGAAAGTACTTCCTCTCTTGTTCAAAAGCCTCAACAGACATTTCAGCTCACACAGACCACAGATGATAATTGTAAATTTGAATTTTATGACTTTGTATCCTCTCAAGAAAGTGGAACAGGAGAAGACCTATGTAGTCAGAAAGATACAAATCAGCCAAGTCTACTGCAATCAAAAGCGGACTTCAGTGACTGTGAAATTTCTTATTCTCCACTGAGTACTTTTGAGGAAAGTGAAGAGGAAACTGAGGAAGAGAAGAAAGTAAAAATATCACAAAATAAGTTAGTCAAAGTCCAGAACTTTGAAGATGAAGAATCTAATTCTGTCATGTTTAAAACATTTGATGGACTTCTTTCACAGCAGAAGCCTCAGTATGAGCATACTAAAATGGGAAATTTCATAATTAAAAAAAACCACTGTGAGGAAGTAAATACATTGAACCATCTAGATCATAGTGCAGAAACTGTTTCTCAGAGTCGCATGAACAGCAAGTTCTGTAATTCAACATGTGTAGATAATCAGCATCAGCAAGAGGCATCTTGTGGATCCTCTTTTCCTTTTAACTGTGAGGAGGTTGAACAGCCAGAATTGATTTTCTCTGGTGCTAAAGCAGGTACCACAAAGTCAGAAGGTACAGGTGATTTGGATTCTGCATATGTGAGTTTTACTGAGACGTCAACACTACTAGTCAGAGAAGGTGCTGGGTCTCTTCTGACACAGAAAAGTAATGTTTTGAGGGACCCAAGTAACATTTTAACTAATACAGATAAAATAACTCCCAATGCAATTGAAAAAACAGCTTGCCAGGAGAGTTTGCAGTCAGTAGTGGAGAAAGAAGAAAATCTTAATACAGCTGCTTTGTGCTTTCCCAGCCCCATCTCTAAAACAGTGCCATCTCTTTCTTTAGCAAGTAAGAGTGCCAAATCCAGTTCTGCCAAAGAACTCAAACAAATGGACATTGGTGTTTTCTTTGGGTTAAAGCCCAAAGTAAAAGAGGAAAGCAAAGGAGAGACTCGTTTGAGTGAGGGAAAGCAGATACCAAGTTCAGTAAGTCCCAATGGAAAGAGGCCCAGACAGGAAAAAAGGAAAGCTGGAGGGTCTGTGGAAGATGTAGAAGCAGTTACAGAAAGTTCAAATAAAAATGGAGCCTTTGCAGATGTAAATTCTCGTGGCCAACGAAGGTGGATAAAAAAATTTAAAGAATTATCTACTACAGCTGAAGGAACAAGAAAAAAACACTGCCCTTTCTACAAGAAAATACCAGGTGAGAGATAACTCTTGCTTTTTATAGAGGTTAACTAATTTTGGCTTGAGTGTTGTATTTTGTTTCCTAACTTTCGGCTTCAGTATTTTTCACTCTTCATAACCGTTTAGACTGCAGCTTGTAATTAATTTTCTTTCTTCCATGTAAGTTGGTAAAGTCTTGTGTAGGTGCTGATCTCCAGAAGAAGGTGATTGCAGAACTAGAGTCAGCAATGGCTTCCTCGATGAAGTACAGTGAAAAAGTTATCTCAGGAGAATTATTTCAAGGACTGACTTTTGCATGTTTTTGGCAGAGTGAAAAATATAAGCAGTATTGAAAGATGCATTTACTTTCTTAAATGATTTTGAATATATCCCTTGGTAACAGTCACTCCTAATTCCTGAATTTAATCTTTTACATTGCTTCAGTTGTGCCTGAAAGTGGGTCTGTCAATAGCAATTATTATCTTACACTAAGTTATAAAAATTGAGTCTAAGTTTGTATTTGAAATTCACGAGTATTAGAAATATGAAGTACTACAACTGTGAAAACAAAGAACTGAAAACCAAGCAGAAGAATTTAGCTAAGGAAACAGCCAAGAATTTCTCAGAATCTCCTCAAGCACTTACATAAAATACAGGATGATGGATCAGTGGCTTAAAAAGCTTCAAATCCTCACAGTTCTGTTTACCGCTAAAGGACTGCCTTAGTCTTAGGTAGGTATTTGAGGAAGCCAAAAAGAAATATATTAGTGATCCTAAGTGCCAAGCTGCTGCCTGAAGACTGACCTGTGTAAGTCTTTGTGGGGTTACACCAGTATCATGGCTTCCATCGGCTGAGAGAATTTTCCATATATAATAAATTTGAAGAGCAGATTCTTATGTCTACAATGCAATTTTAAAGTTGCTTTGCTATTATCTAGATTATCTCTGTTCTGAATTTTGATACTGCATTGGAAGTATATATGACTGTATTTTCTGTGTTGCTAATGATATGTATTTATCCCCATGGCCTTGTATAATGCAGCCTCCTTGAAGCTTTCAGTCTGGTACCTCAAACAGTTGGAGATTTTTTGGTTTGTGATTTTTAATTAGCAGACTCTTGTGTTTTTTTGGAGTTGCAAATACTTGAAATTCTAGCCTCAAGTAAGTAGAACTATTTCTAGTTCTCCTGGAAGATCTGGAAATTTGCTTAACATAAAAAGAAAAGTATTTACGTGCCGCCAGGTGAATTAGTTCTATGCATTATTCGGTGGTTTTAAGAAACTATAACCCAATGTTAAAGGACCATTTGTTGGTATGTTTGCATTTAAAAAAAAAAAAAAACCACAACAAAACATTTGCAGAGAAGGCGGCTATCTTCTCTACAGCTGTCTTTATATAGCATCTGTATACAAACAACACCTCACTGAAAGCATACAATGGCAAATCAGTCACATTTCTTCTCAGCAGATATATTCAAAGACCCTAGATTGCTTGCTTGATAATTATATGGTAGCATGTTTTAAGAGGAATATTAAATGTAGAGTAATTGAAAAATTGTGGTTTGATCGCAAAATGCATTTTGTTAAGCTGTAGTTATCCATCTTATTTTATGTTAACATGTTGGTATTAGATTTTTAGTCTGTGTTAATCTTCAAAAATACCAGCTGGGTGCAAATAGATGTGTTTTATTTACTTAACCAGTTGCCATCTGCGTAGGATGGCAGCTAAACAACAGGTATTTGGGAGGCCTGTGAAAGTATTTTTATGTGGACACTTTTTAAAATTTTTATTTTAATAAGTGAAAATCTTTTTTGTGATTGACTCTTGCACAAACCACACTCATCTTTCAATGGCTCCTTCAACTGTATGCAGTGTAACTGTGTTCCCTTTTAATTTGGAAGAAACAAGAAAGAACAAAAGGAAAATTTAATTAGAAACTGGTTCTGGACTATGCTTGTTTACTGACTGGTTTCTCTTCCATTTTTGCTGTAGGAACTGGTTTTGCAGTTGATGCCTTCCAGTATGGAGAAATCGAAGGTTGTACAGCTTATTTCCTGACACATTTTCACTCTGATCACTACTGTGGGCTAACAAAAAACTTCATGTTTCCAATCTACTGTAATAAGGTAAGGTTTTCCAAGATTGCTATATTCCTTATAGCAGCTTTCCAGTACCTAAAGGGGCCTACAGGAAAGCTGGAGATGGACTGTTTACAAAGACATGTAGTGATAGGACAAGGGGTGATGGCCTTAAGCTGAAGGAGAGGAGAATTAGATTAGATATTAGGAAGAAATTCTTCTGTATGAGAGTGGTGAGGCACTGGAACAGGTTGCCCAGAGAAGCTGTGGATGCTCCCTCCCTGGAAGTGTTCAGGGCCGGGTTGGATGGGGCTTTGGGCAACGTGGTCTAGTGGAGGGTGTCCCTGCCTGTGGCAGAGGGGTGGAACTAGATCATCTTCAACATCCCTTCCAACCCAAACCATTCTACGATTCTATGATATTACCAAACCCATATGCAACTATAATTACTTTTATACTGATGAAAGTAAATGGGAGATCAGATGTTCCATTGCTGGGTCAATTAGGCACAGTGGATATGTATAGGGGAATCTGAGTTTCCCTTGTAAGAAGTTCTTACCCTGATTTAACTGATGATTAGTGAAACTTCCCTGTTTAGATACCATGGAAAAATTCAGGTTTAAAAGGTGCTCTAGAGGTCATATAGTGTGATCTCCTGTGCAATGTGGATCTACCTTCAAAGTTAGATCAGACTGCAGAGAGCCTTTGTCAGTCAAATTTTGAAAATAGGACAGATTCTACTACATCTCCTCGCAACCTGTTGCAGTGCTTACCCTCTCTGAATTTTTTTCCTGATACACAATTGAAAAGTCCTTTTTTGCAACTCGAGACTATAGCTTGTTCTTTTTGTGTGCATCATGGAGAAGAATCTGGCTCTGTCTTCTCTATAACTCTATTCAAGTGATGGAAGTCTGAAATTAGATTCCACTTAAGCCATCTCTTCTCCACATTCAGTAAATTGAGTTGTTTTAGCCTGGTCCTGTGTGTCCTGTGCTTCAGGCTGCTGGATGCCCAAGATTGCCGTTAGGTGTCATATGTCCAGCCAACTCATTACTCATAACATGGTAGGTCACCTTGCCTAATCAACCCATCCAGAACCTGCATCAAAAAACTATTTCTGATTTACTCTGAAAAATCTCCTGGAATGTTTGTGTTCCGTGTTGCCCTTCCAGTAGGTGTTGGGGTGACTGCAGTCCTCCGTGGTAAGATCCAGGGCCTATGACCTGGAAATTTCTTCAGTTGTTTCTTCAGAAGGCTCTGTCCACCTCCTTGTCTTGACTTGGCAGCCTGTAACAGATGTTATTCCCCCTTTTTTGCCTCCTCTCTGATTCCAATCCATAACCTGTTGACAGGCTTTTAAAAGTTTGCTTTTTTTAAGATGGCTTTATTTCGGTTTGCTTTTTGAGAGGTGAAATGCTACTGAAAGGCTTGATTATACGCAGGGTCTCATAGTTTCTCTCAAGCCAGACAGTCTGGCTTTAGAAGTCTTTGTTTCTAAAATAAACATAGGCTTTTTTTAGATTTTGTTCCTATTCCATATTAAATCCTTTCCCTGTTACAGATAACTGGCAACCTGGTGAAGAGCAAACTTCGAGTCAAAGAGCAATACATCCACATGCTGCCAATGGACACAGAATGTATAGTGAATGGGATCAAAGTGTTGTTGCTCGATGCCAATCAGTATGTATCATTTGCTGTGGAATATTTGTATGTATAGAATATTAAAGATGAATAGCTGTACAGATAACAGTTTATGTTATCATGATTTTTAGGTTTCTGAACCTGAAAAAGTAAGGGTAAAAATACTTCAGATACCTGAGTTGGCTTAGTAAGATGCATTTTCACTTCAGAAGTGAACTAGGTGTATAGGAGCCTAAATTTCTTGCGAGTAGTTAGCTTTTGAAATAGGTGAGTTATTTTTGAAAATTAAACTTAAGCTTTTTTGATAATTTTAGCTTTATTTTGTTTGCTCGTAATAAGCTATGTGTGTTAACCATACATAGCTCCATAATTTTTAAGCTCGTTGAGAGGTTGAATGTTTTTTCTAGTGGTCTGGACACTTTAGTTTTTGGTGTCTAGTTAGAAACTTCTTAGATTTGATTATCAGGTATGTTAGGTTTCTGTAGCTTCAACCGAAGATAGTGAAATCTTCAGCTAAAGAAAAATGTGGTGCTTTGGATCCCAGGAGACACAAAACCTAGGCAACATTTTGAAAATTGAACTTTAAAGAAAAGCCTGTTGAAATGTGCAGCAAGACTTCTACTGGATTCGGTGATAAATGGTGAGATTTTTGTCCCATGTTACGCTGGCGCTGTGTGGTAATGCTGGATTTAAAGTTCAGTAGCACCTGACTTCCAGCCCTGTGCTCTTGCCGTTTTGCCTCTTGGTACCTTATTTGGCTATGGGCTAGAGGAAAAGTCCTTTCCCTGAAGTGTATATTGAAACGCAGCGCTGTGTCACAGCTGGTTTGAATATTACTTATCTTAGGATTTGTTTATAGTTGGAGAGATAAGATTCCATGAAGTCCTTTGAGAACCCTTTCTGGGAATGAAGGAAGCCTTGTTGCTTATGTAATTTGGACATTTCTCATTTTTCCTGTTTGTCTCTCTGATCTCCTGCTTTAATTTAAAAGACATATAAACCTTAGGTACAAAGTTCAACTTTTTGGAGAGTTCACCAATTCTGTCATTTTAGCTCTGATTCATGCCAGTTTTTCCTTTTTTGAGATTTCATTTACCCTTTACAGATGATTCATGTCCGAAATAGTCACACTCTGGTTTTCCAGTCTGAGCACTTGCCCTTCAGACAGCTTTGGCGAGGAACTGCAGAAGGTGCAATGGATTCACTGTGGCCAACTAAGAGAATTGTATTTATAACCAGGGAATCCTGGATGGAGGATAATGTTTAAAATCTGCAAATAGAATTTAAAAGGAAATGCTTCAGTAAGTCCTGTGGGAATTAAGATGAACCTCCAATAAGACAATTCTGTTTCTCCTGAATAAGAATGCTGCTTCTCTTTGGTGTGCTGTTTCCCCTTTAAATCAAGTAATGGAACCTCGGAGATTGCAACTGAGGCAGCATCTTTGTCGTACCTAGAAGAAGACAGAGCATCCCAAAAAGGCAGTTAACGCTTGATTGCTGTTGGTGTGGTTTTTTTCTTCCCTCCATCTCAGCTGAGCACTCAAGTCTAGATTGTCTATGGCCATTAGATTAGCTTTAGAATTCCTTTAGAAATCGGGATTTTCTAGCTAAATTATGCTGCATAGTACCTGTGATTTAAAAAGCTGTTCTGCACACCTCCCTGCTACTGAAGGGTGACCTATCTCATAAGGCAGTTGATAAGTATAGAGAACTAACATAATTTGTGTGGTGTTTTTGTTTGTTTCAGTTGTCCAGGCGCAGCAATGATCCTTTTCTATCTGCCAAGTGGAACTGTTATTCTGCACACAGGAGACTTCAGGGCAGATCCTTCCATGGAGCGCTACCCTGCTTTGATTGGTCAACAAGTCCACACCCTTTACCTTGATACCACGTAAGTTGTGTTTAAGTTTTGTGGTTTGTTTTTTTTTCCAATATAACCCTCTTTTTAGTTTAGTAAGACTTTATATGAATGAAATATATGTTAGTATAAATGACATCATTGTTTTAACATTTGTTAGCTCCATTTAGTGTTGAATAAAATCAGGTGTTTATTGAAAGGCCATGTATGTCTAGCTTGTTCATCTGTTATGCTGTTACATGAAAGAATAAAAGTGAGTGGTGGAAAAAATGCTAAAGTATTTGCTGAGATGATCTTATTATTTGTAATTGGTATTAAATTCTGGGTGTCAAAACTCATACATTGAGCATTCAGCTCTAAAACAAGAGGTTCATGGAACACTGGTTTTATGTAGACTCAACTCTGTTATGAAAAGAGGTGTGGGAGAATTCAAAGAGTGAAAGAATGCTAAATGGTTAAATCAGTTGTCCAGGTTTTCATTAGACCTTTCTCTGACTCATGTATATAAAATTGGTTTTGTGTGTATGATGACTAATGCCCAGCTGCAGTCTTTTATTTCTGTTCCGTATGTTTCTGCGAATGAATAATGCCTTATGTTATGGTTTGTGTGCACGACAAAAAAATAGACATAAGGATGTAATTAGTAAGTGATACAAATATCTAGCTTGAAAGAGCATTTGGTATTTGTAGAGAAAAAACTGCAGAATTGAGTGTCAGTGTCAGACAAGTGAATAGTGGCAGAGAAAAGACTTATACTCAATGTAAATTTTATTGCAACAATTTCATCTGGGCACCTCAGTGCTTTCTAATAAATAGGTTTCAAATAGGCTGAAATTATATGGAAGGATAACATCTTTTTCATTACTTTGTATGCATGCAGTTTTGAGGGCCACCTTGGTAAATTCAGATGTCTTCCATCTTGTGTAACGAAGTGTGTATCTTGTTTCTGTGCCCTAGATACTGTAGTCCTGAATACACTTTTCCTTCTCAACAAGAGGTTATCCAGTTTGCTGTCAATACTGCCTTTGAGACAGTGACTTTAAACCCACGTACTCTAGTTGTCTGTGGCACCTATTCCATTGGAAAAGAAAAAGTTTTTTTAGGTACGTAAGAAAAGTGTACTGGATAGAATTTGCGGCTTACCAGTACCTGAAGGGGCCTACAGGAAAGATGGTGAGGGACTGTTTATCAGGGAGTGTAGTGACAGGACAAGGGGTAATGGGTTTAAGCTGAAGGAGGGTCGATTTAGATTAGATGTTAGAAAGAAATTCTTTACTGTTAGAGTGGTGAGGAACTGGAACACGTTGCCCAAAGAGGTTGTGGAGGCCCCCTCCCTGGAAGTGTTTTAAGACCAGGTTGGATGAAGCTTTGGGCAACGTGGTCTAGTGGAGGGTGTCCCTGCCCATGGCAGGGGGGTTGGAACTAGATGATCTTTGAGGTCCCTTCCAACCCAAACCATTCTATGAAAATAATTAAATAAATATCTAAATAAGTGTTAAAAGACCCTTTTCTTGAAGATATAAAGGGTTGGTTAGTCTTGATGATCAGATATTATGTAAAGAACTTAAATGCCGTGTTTACAAACCTCCCCGAATATACAGAAGGCCAATTGGATAAATGAACGAACCTATTTAATTGACTGTGGTGAGAAAATTGCTAATTGCAATTGAAAAAAAAAAAAGACATCTTTATGACATTTTTGGTGTTAATACTTTCATGTTGTCAAAAACCAGCAAAGGGATATAATTATTCTTAAACTTCTATTTTGCTAACAGTTTTTCCTTCCAAGTTTATGTTATGTATTTTCCTAAATATTTATAGTAATCAGTTTTAGTGAAATAAATTTTAACAAGGCATTCCCCAAACCAAAACACATCTTTTCAGATTTAATGAAAATCTTGTGTGCTATGCTTTACTCGGTTACAGCATTAGGAACCAACATGGTAGCCCAAATATATATTCTAGAGCAGGCAGCTGTATACCATTTGTGCTTTTGAGGATATTTAAAATCATAAATACAAGATTTACTTTCACTGAAATTTAGTCTGTCTTTAATGTGGGCTGTTTGTTGCGTGTTCCAGAAGCTGCACGTGTTTCTAGCTGCTTTGAAATAAATACCAGTTCACCTTGGTAACATTCTACCAAAGAACTTATCGCTGTACTTCTATTGTCCTTTTTTTTCCAATTGGCATACACAATTCTGGTGCTAAAATGTAGGAGCCAGGGTTTTTTTAAACAGCCATTACAGGTTTCTCTTCTTAATTTTAGAAGATGCAATACTGTATCCTGTTGAATATGGATTTTTTTTAATAGTAAAAATGATCCAGTGCAATAATTAGGAATATCTGCAAAACAAGCAAAAAAATGAACTCTTACAATTTTCTTTTATCTGATTTCTTCCCAATTAATCCTAAAGCAATTGCTGAAGTTCTGGGCTCAAAAGCAAGTATGTCCCGTGATAAGTACAAAACACTGCAGTGCTTGGAGTCGACAGCTGTTAATTCCCTCATCAGTGTGGACTGGGGTGGTACTTTGCTTCATGTTCTTCCCATGATGCAAATTAATTTTAAGGTAAGTTCAGAAAATGTCCTCATTTGATTAACCTGCTGGCTAGTCTTACTCCTGGCTCCTCCCAACCACTGTTATGTTTGGTGCTTTTAACCTCTTGTCAGATCATGTTTATTTAGTAAAGTTTTGACATGTAGCAATACATTGAAAATCAAATGCAATTAAGCGTTAATAACCATCTCCAAACACGATGCACAGAAAGTGTAATTTCACTTCAGTGCGGTGCTTGTACAGGGTAAGATGAGGTTTGTTCAAAGGCTTGCTCTTTGCAGGCCTTTTTGAAGTAGATTTATGTAATGACTGCAGGATCTGTCCTATTAGCAATTAATATACTGTGAGATGGAGTCCCTGTTTTCGGCCTGTCTTTTACCTGGTATGAGGTAGTGAAAGACTAAAAGGATTTTCTGCCTAGGAGTCTCTGTGTTTTGAGACTGCCCTTGAGCATGGTCAACTTCCATTCTGGTCTTTGATAACAGTTCAATTTCTATGTATTTATAATCGTATTTTCATCTTTTAAAATAATATTCTCTCTCATGGGGATAAGGATACTTGAAAATCAATGAGAACTCACACATAAACAAATACACACATTGAATGAATGAAGGACATCTCATATATACACGTTTTAGTTTTTCCACACAATCTTCTCTAGTATTTGTAGCAAGAGCAAGTAAAACAGTTTCTTTTAAGACATTGTTTCATCTAAGTTGACTTCAAATGCAGGTTTCAGTTAAGATTTGAGACAGTGGGTTTTTGTTGTTAGAGTTTTTGTGGGAATTTCTTATTTAGGAAAGGTGACTAATTCGGGGCGGGGGGAGGAGTTTTTCAAAATACACTACAAAATGCAGAATGGCATTACGGCAAAGCAGCAGGCTCTAGATTAAAGTTAACCTGGAATAAAGAGAAAAACAGTGGATGCTTATGCCTTATGGACTTGGATTCATTTTCCTGCTTTGCTTCAGGCCTGCTGTGCCATCTCAAGCAAATCCTTCAGAGCAAGATGGTATTTAGCTGCAGGACTAGTCAAGGTCAGAGTTGACCTAAAAAGGAGAAAAAGAGGCTATATGATTTGGATGGTAGCTGCAGGAGATAGAAGTTAATATCTTAATGTTTTAATGTTGTTCTATAATCTTTTCCATGGTGGGGCAGAAAATGAGTAATGGAAATGTTATGGATTTATTTTTAATATGTTGTGTTGTCTTAAACAGTAATATATTTTAGTTTCTTCTGCAGATTTTTGGGTTGTTACGTGATTCTGCTGTCACGTGTCCCGGTGTGTGTGGCGTACTCACTTAGCTGGACTTTCAGGCAGAGGGTGTGATTATACCACAAGGATGTCTAGACAGCCTTACTTCTCAGAGACAAGCAGTTGTGTCATGTGCAGGGTCTCTGAGAACAGGAGTTTCCAGACATGTACAGCATGCCAGAAGTGATGCCTGGGCCAGGAAAGATTGAAGACGCAGTGATCTAGTGGACAAGAGTCCTGGTGTGACAGCCATGGCCCTCTGTACTGGGGCTTTGACTTCATGTGTGAAGTGTTGGAATGTGCTCTCATGCTATCTTTTGTAATTTTGGGTCTATGTAAGTTAGGCATGCTACGTAGACCTCCAGAGTGCTAAACATCCCATGATGCCAGTAGCTAGATGAACGCCCAGGTGAAATGAAGTATCAGTAAAATGAGGAGAATGTTAAATACTTAAAGGTGATCATTTATGTTCTTTCTGCTCCAGCAGAATCAATAAACATGACCTCAGAAAAGACAGTATTTTTAAGAATAAAGTATCTGTTCACTTGTAGTCTCATTCTAGTTAAAGAATAATGAATGATATCATCCTGTTTTTACAGACCATGTAAATGTTAACGTCGTCATCTCCAGTTGCATGTTTTTGTCTTCTGCTGGATTATACAGGTTTTGTCCTGAATTACTGGCTCATTACTGGGAAAGCCAGAATTTTTCAGTGATCGTTATCACTAAATGCCAATGTCTTTTTTTATCTTCTGGATCTCTCCTACCTCTTCTGTTTTATTTGATCCCTGGCCCTACTCAAAAACACAATCCCACTTCTTAATTTGGGCTAATTTCCTGCTCGTGTAGTTTCAGCTGCAACCTACAAATGTGTTAAGTCCTTAAGGGAGTATTCTCAGTCAAAAGCTCAGATTCAGTCCTTATTTAGTAAATTGAGTACATCTGCGATCTTGTCCATCAGTTGCCTTTTTAGTAGAATGCAAATAGCCAAACCCTGCTGTTATATTATAGTATGTCCTAGAAGGCCCAGTTTTATACCCGTTTTTTTCCTTGTTAATGCTCTGTACTAATAGAAAAAACCCAAACCTGTCTGTGCTCCAGGCTTGATAGTTTTAAGAACTGTAGCATGATTCTTGTATTATTGAAAAACTTCTCTGGTCTGTTTCTAGATAAAGAAGAAAAAAAAAAGCTGCATAAGCTACATGTGCTTACCACAACTTAAGCCTAGTTTGTGGCAACTGTTGGTAAAACTGTACTTGCCCAAGGAAAGTTTCCATGTTTCCATAGCTGACTGCTCCCAAGACTAAATCTGGATGCCCACAGCTTGCCTTTCTACCCCAAACAGAAAGGAAATAGAAAGGAAATGAGTTCATCATTTGAGATGCTCCAGCATATGCTTCCTTGTTCGCAGGCTTTCTGCTGTGATCAGGGACTTTTTTTTTTTTTTTTCCCCCCCCCCGATCCATTGAGTCTCCAGATTGCTGGAAAATGTTATAAATTTTTTTTAATAAAATTGATAATTTTTTGTATGCTTATTCAGGAAGTGTAGAAGTATTTCTGCAGTCTCTGTGTTTTTTCCTTTTGGTGGCATTGTCCAGCTGTTTAATTCCAGTTTTGGGGCTATCTGAAATCTGCTTTTCTCCATGTTGATTTTTCAGGAGTAATGTCAAGCATGCTTTTTCATTTTGGAGTCAGCTGTTTTATTATTTGTGAACAACTAGCTTAGCTGTTGGTGTATGATTTATAAACACTGTATTGATTCAGCAGAGAGCGTCATTCACCTAAAAGCTGCAGGCGCTCAGAAAAGTACGGAAACCTCTCTCTGTCTTTTCCCTAGTTACCAGACTAACGTTGGTACCTTCTGCCTAGAACTGAAGCAAACAAAAATGGATAGTGACCATAACTGTGTTAAATCCACTATGAAAACCAGGTGGATCAGTGAATGGTTTTTTGATACCTTGAAAAATGATTTTTGTAAACCCACAGTATCCTCAGAATATGTGCTATGCCCTAGATTTTCACTTGGCTAGACACTTGGTGGCAATAATGTATGGTGTGTTTCCCTTTTTTGCTGAAGCTATGTCAAGATGTCCATGTTTTTATACAGATGCAGCCACAGTAAGGGAAACCGTGCTACCTGGCTTGAATGTTTCAATCACTTTTTATCTTCAAACATACATATTTGAATATTGAATTCTGGGCGATTTTCTATCGCTGCATCAGGAGTTGCGTCACTGTCCCAAAAATCTGTTGAAGGAACAAGTTAAAATTTGAGAAGAAAGCTTATCTTTTCTGCTTTATAAATTCATATAGATAGTCTTGATCTGTAGTTAGGATGAAAGCAGTTCCAGTCATAATAGTGAATACCTGGCCAGGTATCACCAGACTTGATGTATTTCATCAAGGCCTTATGAGTGCCCCCTTGAAAAGAACCAGTACTTGAAGTGAGAGTTTGGCCAAGATGTGTGAAGTCTGAAGGGTAAAACTAGAAAGAACAAGCCATAGGGGATCAGAAAAAGTACAGTGGCAGACTAAGTTTTTTGTGTTGTCATATTGGTGTTGGATTCAATGGAGTTCTTTCTGCTCATTTGGGTTTTTTTTCCTAGGTATAGCTCTGGCTTTCTTGTGGAGTTTGTTTATTAGTTGAGATCAAATTTTCTTCAGGTGGTGCCTGGGTCAAAAGTGAGATGACATGCTGTAGATTCATGCTCTGAATGTTCTTAATGGATAATGTTTACATAAATTTAAAAATATTTATAATTTTAATATGTATGATTTTTTTATTAGAATGTTTATAAAAATAAAACACTGATTTCTGCAATATTACAGGTGGACTTGACATATGAAAAGATCTAAAAAAAAAACCAACAACCCCCACCTCAAAGAGATGTGGTATTTCACTGCAATACTTGATTTTACTCCAGTAAAATACAAGGATTACTGTGTGTACTGATGAATAGCTGTTCTTGAATAAGCCACATGAGTTTAAGTGGTGTTAGAGCTGATTGTACATTAACCGTTTAATCGTGTTTGAGTCTTCTGTCTTATGGGATATGTTTGCATGCACTGCTGACTTGAGCGACACTGTAGATAGCAGGCTGTCATGGTGATTGAAGGAGGTTGATTTAGCAATGAAATACATTTTCCGTTTTAAAAGGTCGAAGATTTAGAACAGTGTTGGCTAAAGAAATAAAAGAAGAAGTTGGAATGTGTATTTAAAGTGGATTTGTTATAAATAAACACTGTAGTAATTTGTTTTGTGGAAAGAGGCCATCTTTTCTAACATGCATGCATGGTTCTTTTGCAACAGACATTTTTTCATAACAGTCAAAAATTGAAGCTTCTGCCATTTGAATATGCAGTGAGAGATTTCCAGAGAACTGGGGTCTGTGCACCTCTTTTATGTTACTTAGCTCAGTAGTGTCTTGTACTAGCATTGAGGGGAGATTTTCAAAAGTGCCTGTGATGGAAATGCACAAATAAATTTTTATGAGATTGAAATTACATCCTTAATGTGAATGTTGCACACTTGATTTATAACAGAATTTGAAAGCAGATTAGCATTGGTTAATATAATAATCATTGCATTTGAAGTACTGTGTTTAGATTTCATTAGACCAAGGGGAGCAAATATGTGAATTACTACCTTAAGCTATGTTAATCTTCCTAAAATGAAGTGTGAAGGAGAATTAGACTGGTACAGTTAGATCTTTAATCTAGTGAAGACTGAACATTTGCAGTGTATTAGCAGTCATGGCAGCTAGCCATAATTCCTGTTGCTGAATGAAACGGGTGTTGTGGCAGGGTTTTTTGTTGTTCTTTAATGTGCCCAGTTTGATTGGTTCAGTATGTTGCTACTGGACATTGCACGGAAGGTGCTATTCAATGTGGCAGTGTCACAGGCAGCTTTCCGCTTCCCTGCATAATGATTTTTCAAGTAGCTGACAGGCTGGTTAGTGTTCCGTCACAGCCTATGCCCCTCTCCCCACCTTTTTTTAATCAGTCTCTGTATCAGCAGCAGGAAGAGAAATACAAAATAGTTTGAGTTTTATAGTCTTGTAGGGCTTTCAAATGGAGAATGTGCCTTTAAGATTTTATACAGGATGGGTGAAATTGATTTCCTATTTTTGGTTTGAAATAATACTGGCTACACTTTATCCAGGAATAGGATTGTACATTCCTTATACTTCCCTCTCATTCTTTTCCCAACCTTAGCTTAAACAACATCAAAGGCTGACTTAGCCAACTTGGAAACTTTTTCAAGTAATTTTTTTTTTTTTTTTAGAGTGAAGAGATGAGAGGTGGTTTCCTTCCTATCATGAATGGACATGTGGTAAAACATGGCTTAGTGCTCAGAGCGATAGCCAACTCATGCACTGGCTTGCTGCAATTTTTTGGGTAGTTCACTTAATCTTTGAGCACGTCTGGGCATAAGCAGATGTCAGTGGCACTTTAAATTAACCAGAGGATTTTACACTGAAGCAGGCTTTCACCATCTTTAATCACCACTTGGCTACAAGAGTGCTGACCTCCAGCTGAGAGGAGGAAATGGATGACTTAGGGGACAACATCTATAAGAAGATGTGATTATGCCTTTTGTGTTCTGATCTGTAATGCATAGCTGTTAATAGGTGTTTATTCAGATGAAACAATTGAGGTCCTAAGGTACAAGGAGCGCTGCAAATGTAAATATTTATTATTAATAATTTCAAGGCAGATGGTATTTAAAATAAAGAAGTTCATTTAAAAACATGAAAATAAAATTTAGTCTTAAGTTTCTCCATCATGACATCTCCAAGCTTTAGACTAACAAGCTATTTAATAGGATTCAGTATATGCTATATTGCTTTCACAGGGCTTGCAAGATCACTTGAATAAGTTTTCTGAGAATTTTGATCAAGTTCTGGCTTTCAAACCTACTGGGTGGACCTACTCTGATTCATGCCTTTCTCTGGTGGATATCAAACCTCAGACAAGAGGAAAGATCACTATATATGGTATGAGAGTGGTAAAGATTCAGTGCATTTAGTTTTGTGTGGATGGTTTTAATATTTTTATTCTGGAAACTCCTACTGTTTGTCATAACCAGTGCCTTTTCTGATAACTCACTGAGAAAGTAAACAGATGGATCTCTCCAGGAGAGATCGATGAACTCAGTAATTGAGAACACTGTAAATGCAGATTTTTACATACATTTTGCTCCTGTCCTCCTCTTGCAAATAAAGGCTTTTATCTGATATATGTAGAGACTTCAGGGGTAAAGTCTTGGCCGGACTGATGCTGGTGGCAGTGCAGTTCCAGAGCCAAGATTTTATTCCATACTTTACTCATTTGAGAGACTCTGGGTCTTCCTCCTCTTCTCAGTTTTCTTAGTGGGTGGAGTTGAATCTCTTAAAATTACAACATTCATTTAACTAAATGCTTGGTGTCTCTCAGTTTGCACTGATGAATGACTTGGTAACTTCATGCAAGGTAATTTTTCCAGAAGGAATATCTGAGTTTTTGTTTTACCTTAGCTATAAACTTTAGATCTCCAATATGTATTTAAAAAAATATTATCTAAAGCATTTCTTAGCTGGAAGGCTTGCAAAAGTATTTTGGCAAGAAGCTAAGTAGACTGATGGATCGCTGTGATTTGTTTCATTTCAGGGATTCCTTACAGCGAACACAGCAGTTACCTGGAAATGAAGCGTTTTGTTCAATGGTTGAAGCCACAGAAAATCATCCCCACTGTAAATGTTGGTGACTGGAGAGCCAGAAGCTTGATGGAGAAGCATTTTAGAGACTGGATGATTGAGGGCAGTAGGCATAAATAAATATAAGGAAGAAAGTATATTTCAAAAGAGGTAGGCTGAAGTGGGAATCGAGAGTTCCTGGGAATTTTATTTAACTCCTTTTTCTACAGAGCTTTCTTTAGGGAGGATTAAGCTGCCGTTCTCCTCAGAAAGCTGAATTTGGATGAAAAAAAAAAAAGGAAATAAAAAAGAAGCACATTGCTTTCTCATGTACCTACTACTTATTTTTTCCTGTAACTTAATAACTGTTTTGCAAATGCATATTTCAGATTATTTTTATCTTACTGCTTTTTCTCTGTTCTTAATTTTCCTCAGATTATGGAGATACCCAGAAGTATAATGCTGGGGAAGAAACCTCCTCCAGATTACTCATTTCTGAGAAGAAGTTATTGTAGTAAATGAGGCAATAATAAGCTTATGTCACATGCTGTCAATTCAGGCTTCAGAGAAGCTCATTTCATGAGGCAGAACTGGCTATTGTGATTTAAATCTTGTAAACAAAATTTACCTTATGAGAGAGGATTGGCTCAGGCTCTTGCACTATGTGTACTTTGTAGAGTGATTTTTATAAAAGACATTGCTACATACATTCCACTCAAGATTTTCTGATTATTTTTATTTTTTTTTCTAAATAATAAACCTATATGAAGCCTGTGTGTTCTTTCTGAGTAGAATGCATTTCTTTTCAGTACCACAGTTGCTAATCTGAGAAACCTGTCTGTAATGTCTCTGGTGAATGTGCTGTATATATGGCTTGTGTAAGATTGCTCTTGCGTCCTGGCAGTGCAGATTCTCAGCATGCGGTCAAAGCACAGAAGTGGCTCCTCTCCATGTACTCCCCTACAGTGCATTTGCAGGTTTCTATGTACAGGTTTGTTACTTGAATTCTGGAAAAACAAGAAAGGCAAATATTAGTCTTGGCAGCAGCAAAGTACGTTTCATTTTGCGTTTTTTCCCCTGAATCCTACCAGATTATCAGTATCTGCTTGGTATTTATGATACTGAAATATGTGGTTGCATGCAGGCACGCTACTATAATTATAAGCACTAAAATAAAAATCATTTGAAACTTCTAGGACTTAGAAAAGTTGCATCATGCACAAAGAATCATCCTCCAACCCCCCAGAATAGCTCATCCAAAAACTTCAATGCTGTTTTTTTGTCGGGAAAACATTTCTTCAATGATACATGTAACTATAAACAGATCCTTGTCTCTGAATGACGAGCTCTGTAACGTGAAGTCACTTTGTTTTATTTCTGTCTTCTGAGAGAAATAACTTTGTCAAACTCTGATAGAAAAAGAGTTCTTATACTGATTCACAATTCTTTCAGTACATTCACTGATATATGGTGTTTTTATTTTACATAATGCATTATGATAGGTCTCCTTATCGCAAGAGCTGCTAACTGTCTTGGATTGGCATGTTCATTCCTAAGATTCCACTCCCTTTTGGAGTAGGTGTGTGAAAAAGTATCTTTTACAGCCCTTGCAAATACTGAGCCTGAATTAATGCCTTGTACAAGTCAGAGCAAATTTGAGGATTCTGTTTGGCAGGCAAATGCTTGCAGCAGTCGAATTGTTAAGGAATTACACATCATTTTTTGGCTTTCTGAGTCTTTTTCCTGACTAATTTTGCACCAGGTATGAGGGGCTGGAGTGAGCACCTCAAAGTCAAGAAGCTTAGTCACAATTCTGACATCCTCTTGCTTCCATAGTTGCATTTCCAAGAATTCCTCCTGTGGCTGAGTGTGTGTGTAGGCTCTCCACATGCTCATGCTGTTATGCTGCAGCTGGTAGGTGTGAGGCACCTGTTGCCTCAGTGGCTCTTTACCTCATGCTATCTGTTTCTACCCTGTTATCCAGAATGAAGGGTTGTTTGTTTCTTTGTTTTCTTTTAAAAGCGAACTGATTTCTGAAACTAACCACAAAAATTATGTATCTTGGAAGACACTGACGTTGGCATCTGCTGGACTGACCCAGGTAATGCTGCCCTGATTTGGATCTGATGGTGGGGACACGCTCGCTTCAGTCAGTAAACAGGGTGGCTTTTGTGCTGGATTCCTTTATCGTCTCTGTGCTGGGGTCTGTTTCCAGTCGCCAGCTCTGCTGTAGGTATTCCTGCGTCAGCCCTCTGGCTGCTTTCATTCCTCCCTCTTTATGGTTTTCATTTGCACTTCTGCTAGCTGTTTTTTGTGAGTAGACTCAAATTCTCCAGCATTTCATCCACCTTCATGTTAAGAGATCTCCATGTTACACAGTTACTTGGCCTCCTTTGTGTGGAAAAAAAGTCTTTTCAGAATCCCAACTCAAGGAGAAATTATTATTTTTGTTCTCCTTATGGTAAAGGAAGAAGATTAATAACAGGATGAGATTGTTTAGATTGCCTAGGACATAAAAGCAGATATGGAAAACCATTTAATTAAAAAATAATTTTGTGGGAAGGTTTTATAGCAAGACCTTTTCCCTTGTCCAGGCTGTTCTGAGGGACGGCTCTGACCACAGCAGGTTGAGTCTGTGGCGAGCACAGACCCATGATAAACCTGATTTCAGCATTATTGCATAGGTCTAATTAATTAGGACTTAGGGAGCGGCTCCTCTTTTCTTAATGAAGGAGTAAATGTTTTTTTCAGTCTTGGTAGTGTTGGCGTTACAGATGCGTCAGTGAAATCATTACTTCGGTTTAGAGAGGTGGCTAACTACAGCGAAGGCACTGCTTTGTCAGAGTGCTGGTCCCCGTTAAAGACGGACAGGACCAGAGTCCCCGGGGCGGGGGGGTGGATGGGTCAGTCCGTGTCCTTGCCTCCACATCAAACGAGTCTCGTGTGCTGACACAAATAATACCGGATTTTAGTAAAACAAGATGGGCCTGTGAACATCCCGGAGGCTCTTCCAGTTTCTCTAGTGCTGACAGACTCTGGGCAGAAGGCAAAGCAAACGGAAGGGGCAGCTCTAACGCTTGCTTCATCACTGCCCAGAATGGTTTTCAAAGCCAACCGCTCTAAAGAATCACTTTGTATTTCCCGTCAGGACTCCTGCTCTGATTACATATCGCCCCAAGAGGCAGATAAATGAGCTAAAAGCAACGCTGTTTGGAAAGGGGAGAGGAGGAGAGCAGCTCCTCCTCACTGTGCTCACTGTGCTGACTCCGGCAGTGGGTTGCAGGCTGGCTGGGGTAAATAAAAGCTGCTACGTGCACTCGTGGCTCACGGTTGCCACTGAGAACGCTGCTGGGAAAGCAAGTCCCAGAATTTAATTTTGCAATTATTGCAAAATAAAAGCATATGGACAGTTAAAGGGAGTGTCAAGGTGCTGGGTTTCTTTTTAAACCTTGATGTGAAATAATGATTGATAGTAACGTGGAGTGGAGAAAGGAGCTGGGATGTCATTGGGATGGGTAAAGCTTTTCTCTTACCTGATCAAACCTGTCTACTCATATGTGCTTAGTAAAGGTATTAAGATAAACTGACATTTAACTTTGCTTGGTTTATAAAATAGTGTGACTATACATCCTTCAAGTAACTTGGGATTGATTTTTACTGACACTGTGTTTTTTAGGGGGATTACATGAGAGACTTGTTACCACGTTAGGCTAAAGGTGCAGTTATTGCCTTCATGTGTTTTCTGTCTATTGAAGAATTTTCAGTGAGTTTTCTTTGGTAGGGTACAAAAAGCAGGTGAGCTTTGAGAACAAGAGAATGCAGCTCAAATTTTCCCATCCTCCCTTAGCTACAGCAAACCAGCTGCTTCTCATTTCAGAATCCAAACAAATAAAAGAGCATCTCTTTCAAGGGTGGGGCATAGGCTGCTTTATGTCTTCAGGATTTGTAGTGAAATGATGCAATTTGAAATTGTATTCAATTTGTTACCATTCCAGCTCAACTGTGTTTGTAAAAAAACCCCACAGTATTAGCATCTGGGGGAAATAGGACAGGGATGACTGAAATTCACAGGGATCATTGAAAGTTTCTCAGTACAAATATTAGGAATTGGAGCTCTCGGACCTAAGTTTCACATATTGGTTCAGATGATAATGATGCATTTGGAGTGCTGAATTTAATGCTTTCCCCAGAAGTGCATAGAAAAGCTAGAAGGAGCTTACAGCACTAACAGAAATGAAGGGAGAGGAGAGGCTGTCACTGTTTGCAGCTAAGGAAAACAGCACAGAAGAGCTACCTGCCTTCCCACTGAATCTAACCCAGCTCTCCCCGCTCTCTGCAGGCAGGAGCTTCAGCGGAGGAGCGGTAGCCTGCAGCGGCAGGGCCGTGCACCGCCTGGATGTCTTCTCTGGTTCCCCCTTCTACTCTGAACCTTTACCCGCTGTTGTACAACGGCACCTTGTTATCGAATCTCCAGCAAATACTTTGGCAGGGAAGAGGCTTTTCCACTCTGTCACATCTGCTCTGGTATCTCAGAGCAGATAGTGACTTGTTTGTGCCAGTTTCCAATAAGTGCTTACATAAAACAAACAGTTTTTTAAAACTTCTAAGCTTTCCTATTTGGCATTTGAATTTAACTTTATTCACTTTTCCTTCTGTATGTTGTATTGGTTGTTAAGGATGAAAGAGGAAAAAAATTCACCATCTCAGGGAAAAAGATACGAGCAGGGAAAGGTGACCCAAGGACACAAACACAAACCAGGGTGACTTTGGAACTGAGTTCAGCAAGATTGGGGCTGCCGTGAGGTTCTGCAGGTACCGACTCCTGCAGCCCCCCAACCCATCCCGGCTGCCCACTACCTTCCTCCGTGCAGAGTCACTGATTCCAGTGAACTCTGTTGTGAGAAGCAAAATTTATTTTTTCTGATCGCTCTGGTCATTTGTCAGCTCCTAGCAGAGCCTCCCCAAACACAGTGTTGCCAGCTGCAGGATCTAACCCACTTTTCAGCTCCTGTTTTAGGGAAGAGATGGATTGGGACATTTATCCCAGCAGGGCTTCCTCAAGCAGAGAAAGACAGGTTGGATTTCACTTGTTACTGAAGCAGTGTTATTTGCTTGGCGCTCTGCCCTGCTCTCGGTCGCATCTATTTCCTGAACAAGGGAGGTAAAGCTGAGATTAAGCTCTTTGTGCTGCTACCCAGCGACCGTCTGAGGAACTGAGCTCTGCAGCACAGCGGGAGCCTGGT